ATTTATTATTTATATAATTTTTAATATTTTTAGAAGTTATAATTTTTATAATAAAAGTAAATATAATATAATCTACCCAACAAACTTTCCACAGCTTTACTATTCCAGATCACACTCTATTTCATGACGCACCTCGGCGAACCGCCGCCGCATTCTTGACGTAGTTTCTCTTCAAATTTGCGCTTGTAGTAAACATGTTAATGTGGTCTAGCTTTGTTGGCTCTGTATCTCGAACACGAGACCAGTCCACGGCTCCAATATGGAACATCCTGCTGTGCTGGATATTTCAGTTGTTAAGGGAAATCTAGTGACGTCATAATACGCCGACGTTGGTACTTTAATGCCCTTTCCGGCTTAGTGCGTACCAGACCGTTGCTGGTTGCCCCACAGAAAGCCGCCGATGGCTCTCAGACATTCTAGAATTTGGCCAGAACTTTCGACTCCGTCACCCACCCATGTAAACCACGACATCACCAGTTGTCGCAAGAACATGATGGCAACATCCCGTACATTCCAGTCAGAAATGCAATACCACGCTGCCCTCTATACGAAGTATAAATCAACCACCTGATCTTTCACATTCTTTCCTCAAGACTCAAAACTTCAGCAAAGTTCTCACTCTTCAAGCCTTTACACATTCTCAAAAACGAGAAAAAAATAAGCCCATTCTTCCTCCCAATCCTTCAAACTCACATAAACACAATGGCCTTCTTCCCACGAGCATTCTTTGACAACTCTCACTCCTTCACTCCTCTCTTCCGCCTGCTAGACGACTTTGACAACTACAGTCGCCAAGGTACTTCTTCCAATCATCACCATGACAAGAAGCGAGCTGGCGACGCCCTCTGGCAACCCGCATTCGACGTCCGCGAATCTGGTGACAGTTACGAACTTCACGGCGAACTGCCCGGTCTGACCAAGGAAAACGTCCACATTGAATTCGCGGAGCCTCAGACCTTAATTGTTCGCGGTAGGTCTGAGAGATCGTACACTTCTGGAACTCCACACGCCGAGGCCCTTGAACAATCCATCAGCAAGGGCGCCATCGCCGAGGGCAGTGAATCGTTCCCACACAAGGCGACTGTCGAAAATACCGACCAAGCAGACGCCCAAATAAAGGAGCCAGCTCAGCAAGGCGAAACTGCTGTTCAAAAGTCAGACAAGAAGGAATCTGAGCACGGAGTCAAGTACTGGCTCTCTGAACGCAGCGTCGGCGAATTTTCTCGAACGTTCAATTTCCCCACGCCAGTTGATCAGGGTGCCGTTACGGCAAGTTTCAAGGATGGTATTCTGAGCGTTGTCGTGCCAAAGGCCAAGAAGCAAGCATCTCGGCGTATTGCTATTCACTAAAGCGCCGTTTGATACCCGGGTTAACATTTATATTTGTTATTATGTGTAGGGTTCTTTGGATATTATAGGAATTTAAGAATTAAAGATACTCATGATTATTATCAAGGCTCAATGAACTAGTTCAGTAAAACTTAATACACGGCTTTCAACACTACACCTTTGCTGATAAGGAAAGTTTGACAACCTAGCGGATGTATATTATTGTGAGACCTTCCCTGAGTCACCATTGGCCTATGAACAGCAGCTCAGCTGTCCCAGGAGGCTTCCCGGCATGATGGCAGATGTCTTTCATGTAGCCAAGTGTTGGAATGCCTGGGGGCGTCTGGGCTTCGAGGAGGAAATGTTCAACGTGCCCGAGACTATACTTGTGTCTGAGATGCGTGCCGTCCAGAAGGAGTTGGACGCAAGGCTTGGCCAACTTGTTCACTCAAAGCATACCGACGCGAACCAGACGACGATGGGAATCAGCCCTCGCCGGCATAATACATATACTCCAGAGCAAGGTGTAAAGTCTAATTGGATTGTAATACATAGACCAAGATACTCATATTCTCGGCACAGCAGCCGAGTCTATAAACGCTGTCCATGGCACTTGGCGCCGAGGCCTAAGGCACGTGGGAACGAGACCGCTCCGGTACTGGCCTTGCCGCGACTGTTTTAATACAATTTGCCGGCCGAATACTAAGGAGAAGGTATTGGGATTTACTAGTGCCTGTTTTTAATGTGCTCTTTCCGGCATATTTTTTGCAAACCATTCAGCTCATCCTATAAAGAAGAAAGAAAAGCAAAACACGTATTTGTAACGGTACAAGAGTAAGGCCGAGTTGAACTGGGATCAGGCGGTTATCCATAAGGCTCTGACTCGAACACTCTAGGTCTTGAAGTCAAGCGATTCCCTCAAATATAGCCTCAGCCCTGTTTACTACCTTGCTTTTTATCGTCTTGGCTCTATCACGTCCATTCCCTCCAAATTGGGCGTGAGGAACACTGCCTAGAAACTGTTTAAGAATGAGGAATAACTAGTTGGTCACTCGTAATTAAAGCAATTTATATTCTGCCCCTGATGCCCCAAATGGAGCTTTCTGCTCGCGGTCGTGCTTAAAATTTGATGGTATATATGTGAGCAATACCCCGTCTTGCACCTTATAGATATATTATTTGCAAATTCAAGTGTAACAGGACATCCTGCGGTCCCACCAGTAACTAAATCAGGGCAGTGAGTCGGTTCCTCTTCCAGTCTGTATTTCCTTAATGCCTATGACGGATTTGTTAAGGTCAACTTGGAAGCTTTGATGGCCTGTGTGCTGTTTTGTGGTCTACGTCGGGCGTGCTTTGTATTTCGACGATTGAGGGGCAAGGCTTCGATGAATGCGATTCTGACTTGATGGGCATCGACAAGTTGCGCGTCCGCTCTGTCAACAGCAGAGAGCTTGCTCTCCGTAGATGGCTAGGATGTATCCTCTGACCAAGCGGTCGCTGTGATACTTTTGGTTATGTAGGACAGAGGGGTGCTCGTTGGGCTATGCGGTTGAGCTTTGGAACGTGTTTACGGTCCTATAATTGGCTGTTGTTTCAGAATAAAAGTGTCCTCGCTTATGGCTAGATTGAGGCCCAATGTCCCTGGGAAAGATTGTCACTTTCACAAGACCGCGCCATGTCAGATTGAGACCTCCACCTCCAAGAAAGAATTTAGCTGTAGCGAGGCCGCTGTACTCTTATTCGAAGCAATTGCGAATAAATTTTCTGCTGTTGTGTCGGTGGCGTCAAGTAAGCAAGTCCCCAAACTACGTTACCAATTATCCTGGTGGAACCTTACCAGCGTGAGCATCGTGCCCGTTTCTGCATCTCAAGGCGATAACTTGTTGGATTCACCAAAGTTGGGTCCTAGAAGAAATTGAAGCAACAGTAATGGTTCATGGTTCGTTCACCTTGTGCGATAGCAACTACAGCAGCCCCGTCTCAGCTTGCAGCATATTCACAAAGACTATAACTCGCCACTCTAGCGTTCACTGTGGCAGTTTGATTTCGAGCAACAATGCTAAAGGGAAGCAGGTCCAAGTTAATCGGTTTCCCATTCAATGCTATACTTTTTAAGCATATCTAGCAAGTCATTTCGCCCGAACCGTATAGCTGTGCGTATCGCCGATCCGCCTCCATTTCCTCTCGAATCAGGGCTGGCTCCGGCCTGCAGAAGCACCTGCACGACAGGCGCGTGTCCGTATTCAACCGCCCAGTTTAACGCCGTCCTTCCGCTACGGTCCATTCGTTCGATGTCGACACCTCCGTCTGAAATCAGAGTGTGGATAGTCTTTGGCGAGTCTTTATGAATAGCCCACGCCAGGGGCGTCCATCCTGCTGTATCTTCAACATCTGCACCGACCTTTCTCTTGCCAAGGAGCTTAACTAGGCAATCATAGTGCCCCCCCCCCGCGGCCCATGATATTGCGTTTCTCCCCGTCTCATCGACGCTCAATATGTCCACGGCCGTGCTCTCGAGGAGTACGGCAACTGTATTGGCACAGCCGTAATCTGCGGCCCAGGAAAGGGGTGATTTCCCTTTTGTGTCTTGGAGATTGACGTCGATGCCTGGAATTTTGAGCAAGAGTTTTAACGTGTCATCCATTCCATCCCCGGCAGCCCACGAAACAGCCGTGCGTCCGTTCTTATCCTGGTGGTTAATATTAACGGCCGGGTGCCTTGCCAGAGTTGAGATGATGGAGTGATGTCCTCCTCCGACAGCCCAAAAAAATGGAGTGGCCTTGGAATCGTCCATATGGTCGGCATTGCAGTCCTTACGGGCCAGCAGCTTCTTCACAATGCTTTCGTGTCCATTGCCGCATGCGAATGATAGTGCGTTCCTACCTCTTCGTCCTCCTGCATTGATGTCAGTTCTTTCGAGTGCCATCACGGTCATGACACATTCCAAATGGCCATGTTGGGAGGCAACTGTAAGTGCACTCTGTTGTTGAACCTCCCGGGAATTTGGATCAGCTCCCGCCGTGAGCAGAGTAGTAACGACGCTGCCATGGCCAAGCCGACACGCCCAGAACAGGCCTCTATTTTTCACGGCCAGAGGTGTATTCCCGCTCCCGAGCAGATCCTTGAGCGCAGTTTGCAGGTTGAAATACGCTGCCAACACGATCGGATGCTGGTCAATGAATCCGTCATCCAGGAAATCAACAGATTTTGTGCGGTAAAACTGTAGCCAGTTGCGGCAACTCGCTTTCTTAACATCTAGCAGCTCCGTGGCTGCGTCTCTGAGCATGTCGGATGCGGACTCCTCGCAAAGCGCAAAGTGCTCTGCCCAGTGCAACGATGCATAGCTATAGAAGCCATATTTCGAGGTGATTGAATCGCAAATCTTCGGATGGAGCACATCTGGGTCGAGGAATAACAAATCCGAGTCAAGGGTAGGCCCTTCATCCCAAAAAGTGCCTCCGGAGTCACCTACAGGCAGCTCATCGTGAAGATTGGGAACGACATCAGAAGAAAATAAATCATTCCCGAAATCATCAAGCCGTAGATATTGGATGCAGGCGGAAGCCAATTGCAAGGCCGAGCCTTTTGTGTTTACTGCATGTGTGGCACAAAAGCTTCTAGGCTTTTCGGCAGTCCCCAGGAGGAATTCTTTCAGCGACTGATGAACAAGAGATATTTGAGATCCGTGAACTCTGGCAAGTGGGCCTAAAATTCCCTGGACAGTATGTGAGAAAGCTGTCTGGGCATCCAGCTCGACGTCCTCGGCAGTACCGTGCGAATCTTTGATGGTAAATGCAATATTAAGCTCGTCTAGTTCCAGAGGTCTTGAGCTTGCTAATAAAAGTTTTATGAAATGCGCAGCTTGATGTTGATGTTTAGAAGAAATAGCAGACAAATATCGCATATATGTGTCCGCAAGCTCATCGGGAATGCTGCTGATTATGCCACGGAAGTCCGATATGGAGCTAAGCAGGCTTTCCTCAACAGACGCAAGAACCATGTGAATCCAAAGAAATGTCCGATCGGCTTTGGCACGCATGGTTTCCAACAGGTAATCTCTCACATGGCTTGGATATTTCCGATTAATGGAGATCTCCTCCACTCTCTGTTGGATGTATCTTTCAAGGTCTTCCACGTAGCCAGTTTGTCCGTTGTCAATGGATATTTGTTGTTGAAGAGCTCGGTTCGAGCGAGCATAGGTTTCATGGAGGAACGGTCGGCTCGTTATCAGGAACTTAACTCGAGTATTGCTTCTCACCGACTCTTCAAGTATTTCGGATATTGCTGCGATGAGCCTTTTGCATGACTGCTTCTCACACTCATCCAGAGCGTCCAGAATGATGTACAGAGTGCCAGCTTTTGGGTCTTTTACGATGCCAAGGAAAATATTCCAAAGAGAAGAGAATGACTCCATCATGCTTTGTCCTTGCACTTCGAACACCCGTCGAACATGTGAAATCATGGAGCGATGGCGACTAATGATTTGAAAAATGAGACCGATGAGTACTTCCCTTGCATCAGTCTGTTTGCTGTATGTACTACTGCAGAAGTAAATGAGGACGTTTACAGATTTCACATTCGCATAATGCTCCTCGAAATATCTGTAAAGAGAGAAAGACAACATTGTCTTGCCACAGCCCGGATGTCCCGTCAACCACAGAAGGGCATTGCCGCCTTTTCCAAGAAAAGATACAAACGACTCGTGGCTGCGAATCCACTGGCATGTACCTGGGAGTGGCTTTGGTGGCCTGGACTTGTCATCGTCCTGATCCAGACGACGGTTCTGGTGGAGCAATTTTACGCACGCTCTTTCGACCTCACTCAGGGCTCCAAAACGGTCAGAATCTCTCTATCAATATATCAATTGCAGTGCGACTCACTTCTGTTGGAAGAGTGAGTGCTAACTCGCCCAAGCGAGTGACTAGTATCTGCTGATTGAGCAGCCATCCTGCGAATCGCACTGGCTATCATCTTGTAGCTCTTGGTGTCACCAGGGAAGCGTGAAATACTTGTGTGATCTTCATACATGGGAAATACTTCCTCATGAGCAATGCCTATCGTAGCAGACGTGCGGTCAACAATCTACGCCTTGGTCAGTTTACCCAACATGCCCGCCAAGTGACTCCATACGTTGGTGGAATTAGCAGAAACACATAAGAAACAAAGGTACCAACCAGTGAGGATAGAGGACTTGTTGGATTCAGTTCATAAAAGGAAACCACAGCGAGGCTTTGTAAACGCCCTCGAGCTGCCTCATTGAGGTCCTGAAGCCCGTCGGAGTGAGGCCTGAGATGATGCAGTAAATCAGTCCTGACCGCTCTAGGTCGTGCCCCAGACGTCGCAGTCGCCATGAAAGTGTTGATAATAGTGCCCACAACATTGCCAAATTTTGCCACGTCACTACCCCTGTGAGGAGTTGCCAGAAACGCTACGCCAACGACGGATTTCAACACTTGTCCGTAGAGTTTGTCGTCTTGATGTGCCAGTACTAGTGCCTAGCTTGAATCAGCGTATTGTCTTGACAGCCAGGAAGCTACGAACCTGTTTGAAGACGATGCCTCCAAGACTATGGCACACAAAAATAATAGGACGCGGGCGCTGGATGAGTATCAGATATGTTCGGGTACATACGGAAGGTAGATGATCGCACCGTAGTCGAGCCGTCCTGGAGGTCTCTTATCTCGATTAGGAGCCTCCGTGCGAAGTCGTGCACCCGTCCGAACGATTCGGAGAAGATTTGAGAGGGGTAGCCGTAGGTATAGACCCGGCATCCTGGCAAAAACCCCGGGAGGAGATCACGCAGCCATAGCGTCTTGTCTGGCTTGTGAGTCCAGGTGGAGTACGAACCTCCATTGAGGCCATGGACTGCAATGATGTCCACTGGGTATTTTTGCGGTCCTTGCGGTCCTGGCGATCCCGGCTGGTTTTCATCTTCGGGGAATAACTTGTGGAGGCCCTGGGGGTGAGGCTCTGGTATCTGCGGGGTTTCGGGCTCACTCTCAGCTCTACCGGGCGAGTCTGTCCGTCGTAGTACCTTGGATTTGATGCGTCCCAGGCGTTCCAACATGGTGCCAGATAAGGGCATGCCCTCTGGCTGTCGTGGGAGTGAATTTCTCAAGGAGTTGCGGAACGCCAAAGTGCTTGCAAAACCGGGCAAATCATGGCTTGCTCGCTGCTGACACTCCGTGTTCGGCCCGCAGCCCCTGCCTGGTACTAGCCACACATGTGCACCCAAAAAGCCACTCGAGCAGCAGATGTTATGGCGGTGAAATCAGGACTACACTGTACGTAGACTTGACTCTACATGTATTGGACCTAGAAGACATGATATTAGGCCCAGGTGCCCACCCGATACTAGCCCCTCGGTTAGGGTTAGGGTTACTATCATTTTATCTACAGCCTCGAAGGGCTAGTCTTCCACCGTTGACCCCTCCCTCCCTCGGTTCCCACTTCCACTTCCGCTGGTGGATTCAAATTGCATTGCACCAAATGGAACGGTCCTGCGTCCGCATCAGCTGATATCTTGGTCAACTGAGGAACCCTTGTCCATGGCGTAGCGGAACTTCGGACAGCACGCGATGGCACGGTGACTCGCAACATTCCATCCACTTCTACCTCGTGCAAAAGTGGATATGTCCCTACATGTTGATGATGACTTTCTGACTGTTGGGCTAGAATTAATGGCGCGCCACTAACCTACGACGATTACAAAACTGCAATTGCCCGCACCCGCGCACAGAATGTTTTATCCATCGAAAACAGCCGAGAGTTGCTTGCGAGTGTCGTGCGACAGCCGAGACCGCTAATGGTGGTGGCTCGGTTGCATATATCTACCTTTACTTCCAAGGATAGACAAACTGGCCACGAGAAGCGTGAATCAACAGTTACACTGGCGACTGTTGCCGTTGTAGATGGGAGAAGGTTGCTTACCGAGCTAACCGAGGTTTTTCGTTCTGCCTAGTATTTCGGTCACCAGCTTTCGACTAGTAGCCTTGTTAATACATCAGCTTCGTTCTGCCTCTAAACACTCTAATATCGCGATGCTAAAATACTACCTTACCCCTTGCACTTAGAGTAGCAGTGCAGGGCGTACAATTAGCCAAAGGGTGCAAGTCCGCAGTCAAGGCAAGGCAGTCACTAATAATAAATAAAGTATCTACAATTATACACTGCTGCGTCATATACACCTTGGGTTGAGTTGCGTTGTTTATCCTGCTCTGGGAAGGAGGAGAAACCGCGTGCCTTTTATAGCCGAATGCTAGAGCTTGAATGGACTATCGGTCCACCAAATGTCCCTAGCCGGGTGCAGGAAACGACGAATGATAGAAGACTAACAAATGCTGGCGTCTGATTACATTGTATAGCAGCAAGGAGCACTGGACATTGGAAGATTCCTTTTGCAACGAGATGACGATGCTGTTGCTCTGAGGTTTCGTGCCGATTTTTTTTTTATTGGCTACTTGACGAGTTTACAATTCAAATCGGAAATTGTTGGCGAAATTGTTGGCATGGAGCAAGATTAGGGACACCACGATGAAAATATACTGTCCATTGATATCAGTTGGGCATGTTTGCAGCTATTAGCTAAACCTGGTCTACTAGTTGGATGTGCTGGCATATGCTTGAAACGGCGTGAGAAATTCTTAAATTTCGTTTATAGGGTAAACAGCCGGTCAGTATAAGTATCTCATCCTCGGGCTTATAAGGGGCTATCCGTCATCCGCGATGACTGATAAGAGAATCATTCCTTCAGCATAAGACCGGGATGCAAGTTGAAAATCTCTTGTCCATGTTTTCAGCCTACGCCCCGTATTTTGGCCTTTGAATTGCAGCATACAAATACCGCAGGTGAACAAGAGCTCTTCTGGCCGAATCCAAAGGAGGTGACAGAGCATGCTTCAACGCCGTTCTGACGGCTACCGCCCATTCTTGGTGTCTCCCCGGAAACCACAAATGCCGGTTCTGTTTCAAATTCTCATCCACGTCGTCAGCTCAAGTGCGATGTACATGAGAGCGCGCTCAAGTGAGGGTAAACTGTAGGTGCGGGAGTGTTCCGGGCAACAACTGTTACACGGAAATGGGCCAATGTCACACGGTTACACAAGGGCTACGGTCACGGGATTAGGGCAGAAGGTCCTCACCGACTTCTTGTATAAATAGACATCTTCGGTCCCTCAAGGCCTTGAGGAAAACCAAGGACCTTTGATACCAAAGACTGTTATTAGATGAATTGAGTAATTGCTCCAAGCTAGGCCCTTGTCACAACAACACACACAAGAGATGATAATTGCCCGCGCGTTGCCGCAATCCAAACAACGTAACATATACCCTTCACTTGCAGAGGCGGTGGAGATAATCTGCAAGAATGCAGCCGAAAGTGGCCAAAGGGAGCGCGATATCTGGAAAACAATCTGGGGGGTGTCGCGACTCACCCACGCCCGATGAGAGACATGCCAACGTATCGCGTTTGACATTCTTCAACGGCATGTACTTGTGTGCGACGGCAAGCTTCAAACAGGCTTCTGTACAGTGCATCAAGAGAAATAGACATGACCATCCCTATAGAGTAAAGCACCCGGTTTTCATGGCGACTTAAAGCGCGGTCTCCTCGGCAGACGAAATTTTTGGCCGTGATGGGCAGCCCAACTATGAGAAGTGCAGAGCTGCATACCACTGTTCAACTGTGTCTGCTGCTTCATGAGACCCTTACATGCAGGGGGCTTGGAACAGCGTCTTGAACACGGCTCGTGGAATGGAATGGATCCGGATCCGTGGTGTGGACAACAAGTCTGGTCTACCCCAGAGCAAGCAACACGAATTATACACGCGTAAAAATCATTTATATCAATAGATTGGTCTATTTGCGAAAATGGCCTTCACGGCGAGTCCTACACCTCACCAATAACACCCACGATGCTCAACAAGCCACCAATGCAGGGAGGCGGAGGAAAGCGACATGTCGTTCTCGCTCTCCTAGTTTCAGCCCTACTCAGCAATGTCAGTTCGACTCCATCGCATTATCGCATCGCCTCGTGGCCTCGGGCTGTTCAGAGCCGATGGGCCATGATGCGGGACGAGCGCGTGTCCCGTGGTCACTTGACGGCACCCACGACGGACGCAAGAACCCATGGCCACGACGGCCTCTCCTGCGGGATCCCGGACGAGAGCCAGCGCATGTGGTTCACCCAGGGAGGTTGCAGCATTGCAAGCCAAGACCTGACCTACGTTGACACGAGCGGCGAAGTGCCCGTTGTCCGCACGGCCGCCGAGGGCCATCTCGTCAAATTAACCTGCGAGGATGTATTCTGCCCCATCCCCCCTCGACTAGACTGCTACGAACAGCCCGGCATCTGCTCAGCAAACGAGTGGTGCATGATCGATATCCACGAGAGATGGGGCCCGTGGGCAATGAACCGCGACGGGTCAACGCCTCAATGGGAGTACTGCTACAAGGCCGCTGATTTCGTCGGCAACTCCTCTGACCAGGCCCTGATTGACAGCTACTATTCTGAGTGCATCGCCAGCACCATAGGCGACTATGGAATCAAACTGGGACCCAAGATCGAGGCCTGGAAGCCCATCAGGGGCAAGTGCGTCAAGTTTCGGCAGGCGGAGCAGAGTTGCATCGGCAATCCGCTCGAGTTTGGCGCGTACGAGCGCGAATTCGGCTTGAATTACAAGCGGGAACAAGACGGCGCGCCGTTCCCTCGCCCGCTCGTCTGCGGCCCCGGACTCACCTGCACCGGGCCCGACTTTGACGTACGGCCATCGACGTGCGTCCACCAACGGCCCCAGGATATATGCTTTGCCGGCCCGTGGTGGGATTCCACGCAGTGTCCGAGAACGGAGCCCGAGGCGCCAAAGGGCGGTCTGACTCGGGAGCAGACGGTGGAAACGCTCCGGCGCGCCGTGCTCTTGTATCCGGGTGAGATTGCAACCGCCGCCGACTGCGCGTACTGGAACCGCTCCAGCGACCTGGGCATCAGCGTCCTCGCAACGCAGCATAGGTTCTATAATATCGCCGCGGCGTTGTGGCCGACCGATCTATTTGGGGAGATTCCCAGTTTCGACGAGCTCATGGCGCTGATTCCGGATCCGAACCTGTTTGGAAGTCCGGCAGACTGCGTCGCCCAAGCTGATGTTCCTGGCTCGGAAATCAACGAGGCTCTCGCTGAGGGGGGCACGCTGTCCAACCAGCCAAACCAGGTGTGGTCTCTTGTGCACTTTCTCATGCACAATCAGCCCATTGTCCTCAGTTCCAAGAAGATAGCCGCATCGCGAGCCATGGCCGCGCACCTCTCGGAAAGCTTCTGGTGTGACGACTGTCGGGGTTTCTTCTCAGTCGGCATCATCGAAAGGTACGGACTTCCACCCGAGAGTTCGAATCCGGATGACCAGGCGCATTGGTGGTGGTGGGGGCACAATGTCGCCTCGGAGCATGTCGCCTCGACCCGCGGCGGCCACCCTTGGATCCATGAGCTGGGAGATGAGGGGGTTGCTTACTTCCAGAATCCCTACTTTATGACGTGGGAGGATGCTGTAGCGGAGTGGACTTATAGCATTTAGGAGAAGCATGGGCCAGGTTAGGCCTTGGTTTAAAGAGTATCATGGTGTGATTTGCAGTCGTTCAAATGCTGGCCCAATAGACACGAGTTGAGCTGATGTGTGGTTGAATGTCGTAACTAGCCTGAGCAACCCTCATGCAACTGCCGGGACCATGTTGGGTATTCAATCTTTAGTACAAACTTGTACACGTTTCTGAAATTGCTGTGCAAGATAATTCAAATTGCAAGTTTGAAGCGCACTTTAGTAGATTGCATTTAAAGTCTCTTAGTCTGCGACATGGCAAGTCATTAAATGCCACAGTAGGACCTCCCTCTATTGGCATCAACCTTTCTCGCACCGACGGGCTACGAAAATACAGCAATGGCAACGTGTCATCCGTGTAACATCCCGGGCCAGTTGGCCACGACAACATCAGCCTGCTGCGGACATATCCTATGGGGCGTTGGGGTTACAGGGAGAGGAACATGCAGTTGTCAACGTCAACTACGCTAAAAGTCGCCAGTAGAGCACAAGTCGTTGACTTTATATCTTGGAAGGCATTGATTTTAGCGACTTATCTGCGTCGCGGGACCAGTTTACGCATGTTACACGGAAATGGCACAATGCCAAACGTTACACAAGGGCTACGGTCACGGGATTAGGGCAGAAGGCCCTCACCGACTTCTTGTACTTGAAGACGTCTTTGACCTTGAAGGCCTTGAGGAAAACCAAGGACCTTTGATACCAAAGACTGTTATTAGTTGAATTGAGCGATTGCTCCGAGCCCTCTTTCCGAGCCCTTGTCACAACGCATAATCAAGGCTTTTTTTACCATGTAATCTAGACACTTCTTTTTACTGCACTTACATCTGGGTCAATGATGTGAATCAATGCAATTCGACAGGTACACTCCTGCTGTTTCTGACCTATTTAATGAGCTTGGTCAGCCTCGACTGTGTTTATTTGACCTGCTCATAGGTATTAAAAGCTTACTACTTACCTTTCTTGATTTTCTCTCCTTCTTTTCTCTGTTTTATAGTGCGGCAGGATGCAGCCGGTCAGGCAACTAAGAAAGTCTGCAAGTCAAATGTCTTATCTCTTAAGTAAGGAGCAACATTAATTTTTTCGTTTTCCGGTACTCACTGTCACACGAGTATCACACCGGGGTATCACAACATCTCGGCACGGAGCGTCTCTTGATCCTGACGATACATATAGTTACACAAGGGCTCAAGACCTAGTTGGAAGCCTTTGCGGTCTGCGGCTTCCAGCCCCGAGTGGCTCACGTACTCTGTAGAAATAAGGGCCTCCTGCCTCATGGGCCTTAGAAGAAACTACGAATCTTTGATTCCCAAGAGATTTGTTGGTTGGATTTCAAGCCTTGTTTCCAAGACCTTTTATCAAAGTTCTGAAGCCCTTGCCACACTCACACTGCTACTGGACGAGGGCACGAGACACCCTAGGTCTTGGCGCGATCGCTACCTAGCAGCATTCAATATTTGCGGCAATCTCTTCATGTTGACTGGTCGAATGTTAACTGGAGACCTCAGGTGTTGTTGCACGGAAAAAGCCCAACAAATTTGAAGCCCAACAAAGGGGCTTCACCGACAAAGGACCTATCGGTTACACAGATTGAACACATGACCGGGCAAGAGCCCTAGGCACAGAAGTTCCCTTCATGTATATATAGTAGTCACTATTCCCTTCCTTCCTCTGGGAAAACTAAAGACCTTCGGCGCTATTCGACATTATCTCTACAACTGAGTCTTTTACTCCAAGTCTTCTGTACTGAACCCTTGTCACAGCTGTAGTGACCTCACAGCATCGGCACCACTATTTCTGCGGAAGGCTAGCCATTGCCACGTACTTGAGACACGCAGTTGATGCCCAACCTCAATCCTCAAGTATTTATTGGAGTATTGTCTTATCAGTAACCCCGCCCTCTTCTTTCTCCTCTTACCTCTGGACATTAAATCCTATATTGGATCCGAAGATACACCTGAGAGATGAGGACTATAGCGCTTCAATCCCCGGAGCACCGAAATCTGCTCGATGTAATTGACAAGCTACGATCCAGGGGACTGGGCAAGTATGTTGACTTGCCGGAAATCGTGGTCTGCGGAGATCAGTCTGCTGGGAAAAGCTCTGTTCTTGAGGCCATCTCCGGCATGACTTTCCCAACTAAAGATAACCTTTGCACTCGATTCCCTACTGAGCTGATCCTTCGCCGTCATGCTCAAAACGCAGTTAAAATTTCTATCAATCCTGATCCGGAGAGATCAGCCGAGGAGAAGGCACAGCTTAGAAGGTTCAGTGTCGACACTCAATCTTCTGAGCCCGACATTGGTACTATCGTTGAAAAGGCAAAGGAAGCCATGAACCTTTCGGAAACAAGAAAATTCAGCACCGATGTCCTGCGAATAGAGTTATGTGGGCCAGTTCAACCACATCTGACTATGGTTGATCTTCCAGGGCTGTTTCGAGCGGGCAATCGAGGCCAGTCCGCCGAAGATGCACTCATAGTGAGCAAGATGGTTCGCGATTACGTCAAAAGACCTCGGAGCATTATTCTGGCTGTAGTGTCGGCAAAAAGCGACTTTGCTTTACAGGAGATCACCGAGATGGCTCGCGAGCTTGATCCGCATGGTCTCCGGACCCTTGGCCTCATCACGAAGCCAGATACATTGGACTCTGGATCTGACAGCGAGGCTGCCTACATTCGACTGGCGCAAAACCAGGATGTATTTTTTCGCCTTGGTTGGCACGTCTTGAAAAACCGAGACTTTAAGATGAGGCACGCCAGTTCGAATGAGCGAGACGAGGCCGAAGAGGCATTTTTCTCAGCTTGGCCGTGGGCTGCTTTAGATAACAAGTATCTCGGAGTGAAATCGCTGAGGCCAAAGCTCAGTAACGTTTTGAAGGACCAGATATTGCAACAGCTGCCAAGTTTTGTTCAGGACATTGACATCGAGATTACGAATTGCCGGAACCACTTGAACCGGCTTGGTACAGCGCGCACTACGCCAGCGGAGCAACGCAGGTATTTATTTCAAGTCAGCCGAGACTTCACAGCGATTATGCGGGCTGCTGTGGACGGAGAATACAATAATGTATTCTTTGGTAGCTCCAAAACTGATGAAGGTTATCGGAGGCGCCTCAGAGCCCGTGTGCAAGAGAGTCTTACAGTCTTCGCCGAAAATGTACGTCAACACGGCCAGAACAAAATTATAGTCGACTCTGAAGATGAAGCGGAACTTTCCGGACGTCAGATTACGAGATCTTCGTACATGGGCGAGGTCAAGGATTTAATGAGACGAAGCAGAGGGCGTGAATTGCCTGGCACCTTCAATCCACTCATTATCGGAGAGCTCTTTATAGAACAGTGTCAACCGTGGGACGGCATTGCTGCAGATGTGAAGAGCGATGTCCTCAGAATCGTCTATGAAGTAGCAAAAACCATCGTGGAGCACGTCGCAGTTGAAGAGACGGCAGAAAGAATCCTCCAAGTTATTAATACGGCTATTAGCAGCCTCGGCGATGAGCTGGACTCCGAATTCCAACTGCTCCTACCGTCCCGGGCAGTCCATCCGATTACATACAATCACTATCTGACAGACACTGTTCAGAAGATCCAGGAGGACAGACGCCGACATAAGCTCAGAGAGGGATTTAGGACGCTGATGGGAGACGACGAAATAAGCCCTGTGGATCAAAACGTGTACATGAATCCCTCGGCATTAATTTCTCAGTTGGAAGATCATACTGAAGTCGACATGGAATCTTATGCGTGCAGCCTGGCAATCGATTACGCGGAAGCGTATTACAAAGTGAGCATTCGTCCTGCTGCTTTCTAACCCGTCTGTTTCTGATTGCGGTAAACAATATGCTAACATGACTTTCTGTTTAAGCTTGCTAGTAAGAGGCTCATAGACGACGTCAGTGTGCTGGCTGTCGAATGTCGTCTTGTTAGTAGACTTCCTTTCATTTTTCAGTCAGACGCAGTATTTGGACTCGATGATGAAGAAACTCTTCGCTTGGCTGGGGAAAGCGAATATTCGACTTCAGAGCGAAGGCGCATCAAAGAGAAGCTCGCAGTTCTTGAAGGCAGCAAGGCTGAGCTCAGGAGGCTCAATGTTCATCATTCACCGGCTTGTCCTTCAAGCAGCCCTTACGAGGACAAAATCACCGAGGACAGTACACAAACTATAAATGAGGTTGAGGTTGAAGATAGAGATTCGGGAAAGATGACAGCGGACCAGACCCAAGATGGCCAAGTCGAGACCGAGACCCATGTAGACTCGGTTCAAAATGATGTCTCTTCCGGAAGATATCATTCTGAAACCATAGACTTATCCTTTCAGCAAGATATAGTGGATGACTTTGAGTGTGCTCCTAGCAGGGTGAAAAAGTACAAGAAGAAAAAGAAGAAGAACAGCGTTGCGGACGATGGACAACGGGACAATGTTGGGCATAGTCTGAACGTTGTAAACCTCGCGCCAATGCAGCCACCTACTTGGTCAGATTGATTGAAGAGATTGGAATTCAGGTAAGACAAGCGCCAGTTACGAACGCGAATAACATGTTTGAGTATAAATGGGAGGAAATAAAAGAAAAGCAAAGGGAACGGCACTGGACTCCATACCTAATATCTAGACAGACATTTGGCCACTACCCTAGCTCACACATACTTGCTAATATTACTAGCCCAATGGAATCTTGATGTCGTCTTCCATATCCGTATAAAAAAAGAGAGGAATTCTTGAGTTTTTATTAAATTTTTAGGATTAGGGTTTCTAGTTTATTTTTGATACCGGTAGTAGAGGATTTTAGTATGGCAAACTTCGCCTTAAATACGCCATGTTAAGTGGTGCCAGTCGCAGAAATCTGTTATTCTAAATCAGAAAAGTGGTTGCACATGTAAAATATGGTCCCCCCTTTGCCTTCCTATGGCGAGAAATTAGCTACTGTATCTGTCGACTGTACGGGACACGCGATAATGACGATTTCGACAGTTGTATCTGGGAAGGATCTTCAACGATTGCTGGCGGCACCCGCCTCAGCGATGGTGAAGTGGAGATGTTTATGTAGAATTCCATCGACTTAGACGTGTATCTATGGATCTTCCCTACGTGCCGAGTCTGAAGAACAAGGGAAATCTTCAAGTACTCGCCGAACAGCTAGATGGAACAGCAGCACTGCCAGTTTACAGCACAGAACAGGATGAGCATATCGACAACTGCCTGCAGAGAGACGTACCAACCCTCTTTTGAGGGAGAGATGGACTTCTCTTGTAACCCAGAAGTTACATAGCGGAACATAAAAGAGCCTAGGTGCCGAAGGGGAGCAGTTCAGAACCTCAGGATACATGGGAATACTAAAAGCCCTGACATAATTTGACTCACTTACCTTGCATGCATGCATGAATATGTTATATGAATATGTAGTTTTCGGGATAATTGTAACCTTGATGTGATATGAATGTAAGAAGGTCGGCGTTCATATCCATGTAGCTCTGCCTACATCGAGTGCCCAGAGGTGGTTGGCAAAGGAGCCAAGATTAGTCATAAAGTTGTCAAGTAGGTTACATGTGTAGCTGAACTAGAATTAGTCAGAAATGACGAGCCAATAGGCTCATCAATTCCCACCCGATTTCTGCCTCCGGTCTTCCGGCAACAGTCCTGGATTGGGCGACGCCTCTGCCATTCGGGTGACGAGCCGTGCAGATCTGACCAGATTCGGAACTCTACATCGACTAAGTGCCGACTCAAGCATAACAGGATAATATACCACACCCGTCAGCATGCGGTGAAATCCCGAAATAGAAATGGTAGTATTCGCTGCAACGTCCAGAGGTCAACCGCCGTGCGGGGAATGGTGCCCCCCGAAGAACAATCCTAAGCATAGTTAGCAGATCATATAAAGAATTTGTTTCCCGGGCAAGTCTCCCTATTTCATTCTATCGCGGGCTTCAACTCTTTTCTTACGCTGAGTGAATCTCTTCTCAAGAAATATGATACAACGTGTATCTACGTCCATAGATGATAGGCACAGACCCGGGCATGAATATGATGGACATTGACGAACCTTCTGGTGGAACGAGCATAAAATATGGTGTGGTGTCACAGACTCACAGGTAAGCGCGCATTCCAGTGTGTGATAGTTGAATGAGACAACATAAACTGACCATGCTGTGTGATCAAGCTGGAGGGTACGTGTACTCATGGCCATAACTCATTATGTAGCCTTGGGTCATTTTCTTTCCCGTTAAAGTCAAACTCGGATTGAAACCAATTGTTCGCGCCGAGTCGTCAGCGAAGTATATAAGCCGAGGACATCCGCTCCCGAAACCATCTCTCATCCTCATCAGAATCAACCACACACACTGACACTCACACCCACAAATCACTTACACTGTTTGGTTCGAAATCCAATACATCGCGGATATGCAATTTTCTATCGTCCTGTCAGTCATTGCCACCGCTTCTGCGGCTGCCCTTCTCCCCGGAGAAGTCGCATGCCCTACCACGAAAGGCTCTATGTGTGGTGTCGCTAATGCCGGCGGCATCAAAAATATCACCTTCCCTACATGCAAGTGCAATGCTGGATGTAGGGGTCAGGTCGAAATCCTCGGTGTTCAGTTCGATGCTGTATGTACTCCTCATGCCCTTCATGGTACTGCAATCACGAACCAGACATGACGCTAACGTTCTGCAGTGGATCGGTGTAAGTATATAAGCAATGCGAAATGAAGTTGACAGAGTGTCTGCTAACATAGTCCCTTGTCGGATCGTATAGAAATGCGTAAGTGCTTGTATCTTAAGAGACACCGCGAAAGTTGCTGAGTTGATTGTTTCTCCAGGAGTAAAGGGAGTTTGGATAGTAAAGATGCCGGTGGTGTTGCCAGATCTCAATTAGTAGCTGTATGCAGCTTACTTACAGCCGTGGAATGACGCCATTTAACAATCTACATAGCTTCCAGTAAACTACCAAGCTCATCGTCTTACTACCTACAACGAGCCCTCTGGTGATATCATGGCCTGTTGCATTATGACGTCAGGTCATGCATAACGTGCCTGAGATAGATGCATAGCAAGTGGGCTAGCATGACGAGAGGGTTTCTGTCGCACTTTTTCGTCCTGGAAGAAATAGATGCTGAACAGTTTAACTTCTTGTTATTAATTAAACTTTTCCCATGCATTAGACATTTGCGTTGTATACAGACGGCAACCATGGCTTCTGCCTGGCTCACAGGACTGTGCAATTCCTGGCGGCACCATCATTAATCCTACAAGACGGTCACAACAGCCAACCACGCGTTTCCCTGTGAGGAGGGATTGAGTGGCTAAATTAGCAATACCCGAGACCCAAACACTGCAGCGGTCAGAATACACCTCCCCTTCCTTGGGGTCTGGTGATTGTTGTGGTGGAGGATTATTAGAGGACGTCGGGAAAGATTGGTGATATTCCGGTCGACTATAAGCTTTGATCTGTTGGGAAGAGCGACCTTTAATATTACCTCTAATATAGTAGAAGAAATGATACTAGCAGCGCTCTTATCTAGCAACTTCTTGTGCCGAACCTTACATTAGTAAATAGAGTCTGCCCGCCGGAGTGACCAGCCCGCTACGGCACAAACAGTGCCTGCTTATGCGTACAAAGTAAAATCATGATGTCGACGGTTTAGTTTTATAAAACTATTATATGAAAACTGGCGATATCTGGAATTTTATATACAGGAACAAGATTTTCGACTTGTAATAAGCTTATATTCGAGGTGTGCCTGTAGAGACTGCACGCCCAACTTGCAATACGTGCAGCAGCATCCCGAAAACCTGCAATGATCTGACAAAATCGAATGGGCCCTCGGCTTGTTTGTCCACTGAAGACGAATTTGCAAGGCCGCCAGCCAGATGGATGGCCCGCCTAGATGTAGCATAGCCCGTCAGCACCATAGAAGGTGGTTCTTGAGCCACAACACTGCCGGACACAGCAGCGATTGAGCGGGCAGCAACGGCCGCTGCATTAGAAAGAATACCCCGGCTGGCAGAGTTGGGCGCCAGAGGCACTGAGACCGCTTCGATCCGAAGGTTGTGATTTGCTTGCATCGTTGACGTGATGGGATGTGTCACCTTCAATGACGGGAAGGCTTTCCGCCGTCTGTCTGTGGCTGATGGAGACGGTAGCACCGTAAAACGGCAGCAGAGACACAAGTACAACTGCAGGCTTCATTGTACCTTGTAGATGGTATTGAGAAAGCATAAAAAGCTTTAAATATTCGAGTGGAAACGAGGTTGTAGTTTCCCCTTGAGAAAGGAAGACGTGCGTGGCGACGGAGAGCATATGACGTAGCCGAGAAAAGTCCAAGGTTTCTCAAATGTTGCTAGTGGGCGATGTGCCCATTCAGCCCCGGTCAAGGCACTCTGCTATCATAGGATATTTCCGTGCGGCTGAAGGTTTTGTCTCAGACCATGGAACGCCTCTGCGCATGGCTCAGCACGGTCCAAACGAGAGTGACTGTGGCTACTCCGTACATGTTAACTCGTTTCTTTCTCATACTTGATGCTGCTGGGATGAAATTTGAGGGAGTTGAGTGATCGCCCCTTTGCGGAGTGCAGCACTCTGATTCGTATCACGAAAAACAGGTTCGACAAGTCTGATGACGATGCGATTGCCTTGTGTCTAGTCCTCTGTCTTACGTTCCCTCCCACGCCGTCATGTCTTTCCGAATGATGCCGTTGACCCTAAGACACTCGTAAGACAATTAGTTTTCAGCTTTTCTGCAATTTGACGATCATAGGCCCGGGATCTAGATTTGAAAATGTTGATATGTGACGAGAGTGCTTCGGAACGTAGTACGGACTACCCGTCTTTGTGAATGCCGCCTGTGTGCAACCCTTGCAAAAAGCACCATCTCGCAAAGGGGCCAAGCTGTTTGCGAAAGTCCCAGAAGAAGAATTAGAATCGATGAAACTTGATACCCAAAGGAGGGGTATTGGAGGGCGCGGCTAAGATGATCAAAGGCGCAGTATTTTGAGTTAGTCCGATCGTCGTCCTGGTGGTAGAACTTCAGCTTGCCGCAGGCGTCAGCTCTGACTAACTATGCTGGTGTGTTGACATGACAGATTCAAGACAGAGTACGGAGTACACCTTACATTACGAGTATACAAAAATACCGCGCCATGCATGTGCATACTTGCCAAACTATTGCCTGTCATCGCTGAAGATCAAGGCGACCTGCCTTGACTTGTCCACGTTTTGTCACCCAAAGAGAATACCTCTACTTTAAAGGGGTACACAATAATTAGACTAAATTCTCATCGTTACCTTGTCTTCCCTATCAACATACATCTCTGGAACAATTTTGTGATTAACCCCCTATAGAGCTCTACCTTCGCATGGCTGTCCCGGAACCTAGACCTGGCACCATCAACAATTTACAACATTGGTCGCAGAACTCCTTCGATTCATTCGCCTAAACACTCATCGCCGATACTGATCCAAATGGGAGCCAAGCACAGCAAGGTCAATTACACAAAGACGCAGAATGGGCACAGAGGCAGCTCCATCCCGAGGCCCGGTTCTTCGAATGGCACGAGCGTAACCTGTTTGCCGAGCAGATACACCGCGTGTATACTGGAAGAAAGCTTGCCGCAACAGAGAATTGGGACTTGGCGCTTGTCCCGGATGATACCTTGGTGGACGATGTCATCGCTAGCCTTGTAGGAGGCAATGTTCCATTCGTTTTGCACAGCCGAGGCGATGAGTTTCGATTAGTTGGTGAGTTCTGATGTCAGGAATGACGAAAGATGATTTTATTTCCGGTTAACGCCAATGGGCAAGCTGCGCTTCCCACTGGTTCGCTGTCAGTCGCTTGCTCATCCCGAGGTGGCGAAAGTTGACACCAGCGACGACATGGACATGGCAACATGGCGACCAAAGGGCGCGTCACCCTTTCGTCATGGACAAGTGCGCCGCAGTACATAGGCGTCATATTTCAGAATCTTCATGTTGAATCATGTTCCGATTTCAATCTCCATCAAAGTTGTACAGCCCAGAATTAAATCAATTCCCACACTTGTACAGAATCTTTTCCCCTTGACATTATTGGAACCACAAACTTGGAAATGGCTGCATCTCAAGCCGCCCATCTTGTGGAAAAGGCCATTGGCCACGATGACAATGCCACCACAGCCCAGGATGTGTCCACATTCCTGGATGCGGGTGAAGGCGACCGGATGAATGCTTTGGTGTGGATGGGCAAGAACAGAGTCGAAATCGGTACATCCATTGACCACCCGACTTTGGGGAGGCAATCACCCTAACAAGAGTACCACAGCCCAGGTCCCGAAACCGAAAATCGTCCAAGACCGAGACGTCATCCTCAAAGTGACTGGCAGCACCGTATGCGGCTCCGATCTTCACCTCTTGCACGGCTCGGTCCTGCAGCTCTCCAAGGGGGACATTCTCGGCCACGAATTCTGCGGCGTTGCCGAATTCGTCGGCCGCCAAGTGCACAATGTTCACGTTGGCAAGCGCTATGTGGCCTCGTTCCAGATTGCATGCGGCGACTGTTTCTACTGCAAGAGGAAGCAGTCTTCGCAATGTGAGAAGACGAATGCGAATGCCATGGCCAAGGCCATGTACGGGGGTAGAACCGCGGGCATGTTTGGCTATTCGCATCTTACCGGGGGCTTCGCAGGCGGGCAGGCAGAGTATGTGCGCGTGCCGTTTGGAGACGTGAATCTTCTCGAGCTGCCAGACGATGTCCCCGACGAGAAAGGCAAGTCCAACACCCTTGTGACCTATTTTACGGAAGGAGACTAAAATGAGGAGCAGGTTTATATCTCTCTGACGTCCTCGCAACATCCTACCATTGTGTCAAGGACACCGGCGTCGAAAAAGCAGACAGCGTGGCCATATTCGGCGCTGGTCCTATCGGCCATATGGCTGGTGTGTTTGCTCTTGACCGTGGCGCCAGGAAAGTCGTGTTTGTTGATACGGAGCCGCGTCTGTCTTATATCAGGAGCCATTTCCCTCGGGAGTACATGTCTCGGGTGGCCCTGGTTGATTTCAAAACAGTATCAAGCGGTATTACAAACTCCAAAACGGTAGTCAGCCGACTGAAGGAAATATGCGACGGCCGTGGCCCAGATGTGGCGCTTGAGTGTGCAGCTGGAGAGTATGCCAAGGGCTGGCTGCACTGGTTGGAGATGGCCACGGGCGCGGAAACAGATACCAGTGAGATTGTGAATGAGATGATTGAGAGTGTTCATTCCTTTGGACGCTGTGGTATTACCGGTGTTTATGTTGGATACGTACGCTTTTTTTGCCTTTTTTCTTTTCATCCGCCTGCTATTACAGAGACGTGAGCTAACGAACCTAGACGAATCACTTTAATATAGGATCCCTCATGCAGCGCGGCATCAGGTTTATCGGAAATGGCCAAGCCCCCGTTCACATGTACTGGAAGGACCTCCTAGCGGCAATTCAAAAGAAGGAATTCGATCCGCTGCAAATGGTCTCTCACAGGGTTCGACTAGAGGATCTCGATAAAGTCTATTATATGTTTGATAATAAGGAGGACAGCATGCAGAAAGTATTTGTTGAGACCAAGTTTTCGGCTCCTGCCGCACAAGGCTCGCCGCCACTTACACGGTACTGATGTGGTATTCATTTCGGCACGAAAGTATGGCTATGATATGCTGCAGGAAACGCACAAAATGTACTTGAATCATGATTGTAAACTTATTTATTTGACAACGCCCAGGTCGGGCAACAAATACCGGAGAAAGCACAAAATCCTGGAACAAGTAAAGATGAGTGTGTAACCCGGGCGAGAGGGAGACTGGCCAGTGGCCGATGTTGCAGTTTAAGTAACAGGGTTGAGTGGAAGCAAGGTACAAGAATGCAACGCGTCAAGTTGAACTGTTCTGCCTTGACTTCCAATCTTTGCATCCTTCGTACCGGGCCAAGGTCGTGTTTATTTAACACAGGGCGACTTATACTTTGGTATCGGGCTTGGCCGATTTGAATGCATCTTTTTGCTCCATGACCCAAGGATTGAATCTGATAACTGTCGCGACACCGGTTGAATGCGACTTGTACAAAACAATTACTCACCAGGAGAAAGGGACAACTCCCCAAGAAACCCTTGACGGAAGCTAATTTCATGATATTCGTAAAGTGGGTCTCTGATGGACCAAGTCTGGTAGTTATAGACGTGCCTCTTTCGGCCTTCATGTTACCATGTCATGAATTTTGCTCTTCAAGTTGTGATAGACAAGACCTTGCCGCGCTTCCAAGCACATGTTAGCCTTTCCTGCTTGTAATAGCTTTCAAGAGCCGGCTAAAGCATCCCCAACTACTAAAGGTGTCCTGGATAATTACGCCGAAGCTACAAAGGCCTATTCCCGAGTCAACATTTAGGTTAGTAATGGCCAGCAAGTCGGCCTTGGAATCAGACGAACGAATTAGGTTGGGCGTTTGTATTCTGAACAGCGCCAATCACAATCTACCGCCGCACCTGCGCGATATATGTAGGCTGAAATGCCCATCTAGATTGCCCCGAGTGCCCGTGTCCAACTTTGCAGCCTATCGAGACGCGCCACGCTTGCTGCTTCCTTGAGCAGTATATTCCAACGCCACGATTGTTCCTTAGTGGAAGAAATCAGCATGGGAGCGAATGTGGCGGCTGAACCGCCATCAGCCCTGGCCGGGATGAGATCCCGTCGTGACAGGATCACAGGGCGCATATGGGCAACTCAACCTCAGCCGCACAGCGCCATGCCGTATAGTGGTACACCTTTAATTGTAAGCTAATTTTCACATCCTGGGTTAGGCTGACAGGGCTGCATGAGCATAACTCGCAAGCCCAAATGGTTCACGCGGTGAGGGAGAAGAGATTTTCGCAAGAGCACGGTGGCGGTGGGAAGCGGTACGAATTTAAAAGAGACCGGTTGTCCAGTTTGGGAAGCAAATCGTCACGTCACACTTGTTGGTTTTCCATTGCTCTCGGGAGAAATTTTGATCGGCTTGTCTTGTCATGGCCAGGATGCACCTCGGTATCATGAAGAGCCTGTTTGTCTTGGCAATGGTGTTGGCTATCAGCCAAGCACTTGATGTTTCCGAATCGGCAAACTCTCTCGGTTAGTCTTGGGCTCAATATCAGTCTTCTCCCTTTGGCAAATACACTAACCGCAGGTACAGCGGCGAGTTTCGACAACGCCATCGGCTCGAGTCGGTTCGACATGGTCGCTCGAGCACCCAAAGGTGGCAAAGGCGGCCACAGTGGCGGAGATGGTAGCAGCGGCAGCGGTTCGGGCTCTTCGTCTGGTTCGGGATCTGGTTCCAGCTCAGGCTCGGGGTCATGCAGCACCTCGTCCAGCTCTACTACCAACTGTCTGTCGTCCGAAAAGGTCTGCGGTGATGCTTGTATCCCCTCCTCTGCCACGTGCTGCACATATGGGAGCAGTTTGTACTCGTACTATTGCTTGTCCACGGAGCGCTGCGTGTCAACCTCGTCTAGCAGTTTGTACAAGTGCTGCCCGTCCACCAGTTCATCCTGCACATCAACTTCGCCAAGCGCCAACTATGCCACCGCCGGGACGTTGAGACGCGCAACAAAAACATGTGCCTCTGATGCTGCTCGTGCGGGGGTGAGTGCCTTTGCCATCTTTTTGATGAGCAGTGTCTTGACGGCTGGACTTGTCTTGGGGCGCATCTAGCAAGGTGGTTGAGGTGACGTTGAAGGGATGGCTGCGATGGATGACGACATATTGACGACGGTTGACTACGCACGGAGTAGGACAGGGACGGTGAATGTGAGAAAGAAGCTGGGGAATGGCCCGCTTGAAACTGGGGTTTGGGGAGGGAAGATGGTCGTCGGTTTGATGCTTTGAACTGAAACACCATGATTTGTATCCTGTTTCGTGTCACATAAATGAACTGTCGACGGTCGTCTAGTTACAAAAACAGAGGACCAGACATTTTACCGTTGGAAAATAGCCATTACAGTACGTACCGTGCCGACATTGTCTTTTAGATACTTGATTGTGTCTGGTGTTAGGGTTAGGGTTCAGACACCGCTGTCTTCGTTCTGCGTCATGCCGTGGCCGTGGTGAGAGTTACCCGCCAGGCGGGAGGCTGAGTTACGGAGCAGCTGAACTGCAGCTGAACTCGGATGAACACGTCCACACACACCAGCCTTCAAGTTCAAGGCCTCAATCAGGCCAGGATAAGTGGGGCGCACCCGTGACCAGGGTTCCAATGTTATTTGTCAACAGAAGGGTTGGCACATGTGTGAAAAAGCGGGAAACTTGGCATCTTCAGAGCCCTCACGCACGGCGTCACAAAATACCATGGTGAGACGACTTGTTTCCAACACCAGCTGCAGCACCAGGAGTTTGACGGGCCGCGTCACCGACTGTGTCTCGAGATGGGACGACTGGGGAGCCATGCGCGGCTCTGTTCATTGTACGAAATGGGGCATCTCGGGCTGCGTTTTCGACACGACGTCGGCATACCGCCAGTTTACCCTGGGCATGGGGTTTGACGACGACGATGAATGAAGCGGAAAAACCTCATGGTTGGCTATTTTTTTTTTTTACGCATATGCAAGTGCTATCAAGACGACCACGACGCAAGATGCGCTGTTTGTGCGGGTGTAGTCATGGATCGACTCTTTGCTGCCTGAGGAACGGAATTTCTCCATCAGCCAAGCGCGGCAATTTCGCGCCTCTTGCGCAAATGAAAGCCTATTTATTTATCAATCTGGCAACCCGAATGGCGCACGACTTGCCGTCCTCTCGTGACAGCAACCGCTACACGTCTCATGATTTCCCAGCAGAGAATGTGGATGAACCGGTTCACATCATGCCGGGCCAGGTCGGTCTTTGGCGGCAAACGCAAACCGTGGCAACTCCGCATGGCTTGCCAGAACAGCGGAGATAAGACCAACAACAACAGCCGCAAGGCCTGCGGTGTAACGTCCAAGCCAAATCTAGGTTCGCCATTCGCATTAGGCTTCTGGGCGTCCAAGCCTACGTGGCGCCGGGCCTCCGTCAACACGCTGCGGTGCTTGGTCGGGTGCACGGCAGGAGACTTTTCGGCAATGTGGTATCTCCAGGCATCCCAGCCGGACCTTGGGATGGGGGCCATCATGGCCATCTCTAGTACGTCCGGTTGCATCTCCACCAGAAAAACCCCGTTGTGCGCTCCAGAGACTTGGGCCATCGTGCTGCCTCGGCTGACCCGCGTTTCCGCGTCTGTGCAGTGGCGAGCGGCATAACCACCTCGCTTGCCCTCGAGACGGTTCTACTTCGCAAAGGTCGCGACGGCATGTCCTGGCCGGTTGCCGCGAAAACCGCCGCCGGCATGAGCATGATATCCATGATGACCATGGAGCTGGCAGAGAACGCCGTCGACTACCACCTCACCGGGGGCCAGGTTGCCGTCGACTCGCCCGCGTTTTGGGCCGCCGGGGCCGTGGCCATGGCCGCGGGATTTCTCGCGCCTCTGCCCTACAACTACCTCCGATTGAAGAAATACGGCAAGGCCTGCCACTGAGGCTTTTTGAGCTGGCCCTGTGCCATTGTCAGTCATGCCCGAGTGTGGCACCATTGCGGTGTAAACGGTGCCAAGGCTGCTTGTGCGAACATGTCATGGCGCCATTCAGTCACACGCATGGAATACAGGTTGACATGTGTGATGAACCTGGAGATTACGATAATAGATGAACTCTAATTTTTACTTTGGGTAGTCGGCGCCGAGGGCGGTAGATATACACCAAGGTTGTTGTGCTGCGTTACTAATATACTCTCATCGTACGTGTTGGCATATGTAGGCACGTTTCACATTCGTCGCAAATACCAAATTGGTCCCTTGTATGGCATGATTTGGAAACTGTACACCTTGCTCCTCTCCGTGCGACTTGTTTCGTACTGTGTCGCAGAAGCATACTGGAGAAGCTTGTTCGCAACGTCTTCTCTAACAACGTGGCTGTCCTGATCTCCCACAGTCAGTCAGACGACGTCTTGGGATGGAAGGGCCATTAAGTAGACTGCCATAGTCTTGCTGTCAGCATGAATAAAACAAGGTTAATTCATCCTTTTGCCAAAGGATGTGCACCGGGGTAGGCTGACACTCGGATGAAACGAAGGCAGCAAATTGTACATTGACCCCCTTGGCCACCCCCCCCCCGCCGCATAATTTTCTTCTTCTTCATGTTTTAAATAGACATCTGATAAAACCGCCTTCGTGGCAAAGTGTCGTTTTTTTGGCCTTGGCAACCGCGTTGGGCGATTTTGTGGTTTGCATCCATTTCAGTCACCACCAGCCAGGACTTGGCGATGCATTGCGATATTCACGACTCTAGTGTCAAGATTCGGCAGTTGCAAGTTTTTGATAAGAGGAGCTGCATATGGATTGGTAATGAGAACATCCAGCGTGCCATTCCGATGGGCTGCTTTAGTATATGCTGTTGGTACTCCACCATGCTCAGAGTTGATCCGGAACGAGTGTAACCTTTGATACATGTACTTGGAGAACACGTGCAGATAACTACTCGATATCGTCTTGTGAGCAAGTTTATGACGATTAGCTACCTGCTCTGCAACTCTGCTCTGCATGCTCGCATATGCACAAAGACCAAACGACGCCGATTCCGTGGTGTTGAAGAAGGCGCAAATCGTGAAATCTCGGGCCATCATGTGCGTGCAGAGACGCTCGTTTGGCCAGTGGGCATCGGCTAAGAGTTTTCCAAGACGGTGGCTAAACGACAAAGGTCAACTTGGCGTTTGCAGTTTAACCGCGCAGTGGACATGTCCATGACTGCATGTGACCTCGGAACTTGCGCGACTATCCAAGAGCAAACCCTGGGCGCAATTGCTGGGGACATCTAGCCAAGAAGCGGGGGATCTGGATTGAATCCAGATTCTTGCCCTTGTTGTTTCTGGGGTCGTGGAGAGGGCATATGTACGATACGATATTGTGCCCAAGATGGATGGAGGACTGGGGGACCAGGGGTTGGTGACATGTGTCGCAGCAGCGAAGCCCGCATGGGAGTTTCATCAACATCAATCAAACGAGACGGGTTATGCTGGAAACAACAGCCAAGTCGCCAGTGGCCGTCGACGCGGCTGCGACAAGGCCGGCATCCCCCACGCTGCGCACGCCGCCAAGGGCATCTGCATCCATCCATGTATGTGGACGGTCTTGACTCTTGGCAGCCCGGGTGGGATCGTCGAGGGAAAAGTTCTCGACGGCCCCCCTCGTAGCTCGACTCGGCCGGTTTCAGGCGCAATCGGAAGGTCGTGTGCCGCTCAGACGACGTAGTCAGGGAGCGCACGGTCGTGTCATGACCCCCAAGGCAACATCTCGACAACCATTTGTCACGAACGGGGTCTGACGTACGGGGGGGAGCCCAAGCGCCTCTGCGTACGGAGCATGTCCTTTTGCAATACTACCCGGTGACCGCCACCGGCGGTCCGTGGAATGGCACCATCTGCCCAATCGGCAATGGCAAAGTCTATCTGGCTGTCTAAATGGGTGGCGTCAGCCGTTGCCGCAGGCAAACCTCAGCTCAGGGTCCTGCTGGCCAGCATCATGGCACCCAGTGCGGTGTGGTGTAGTCTATGTAGTCAATCTGTTACGAACCCTATCAGCCATGCCTCATGCTAAAATTGGAATGCGAATTGTAGACGATGTGCGCATCAGATGGAGACTGATAAACACGTCGGGGCCGTGGGCCTCCACATGTGAACACACCGCATTTCCTTTTTAATACCGGCTGGTACTACGCCTTGGCGACGTTCCTTCATGTTCGTGCTCATAAATTGAGTAGCATTCGTCGTTTGCGTCGAGGTGGCTGGACCATCAACCCTCTGTATTTGTTTCTCCGTCTGTGAGGCGTCTACCTGAGATAATACGGCCGGCGGATAATACATCGTCTCCTCTTGCCGTCCGACCTCGCAGCCGAATCAGAAAAACACTGCATGGTATCCGCGTATACTGGTGATTCGCGCGTATCATGGACGAAGTGAAGCCTCAGTGCGGCAACAAGGGGGGAGGAGAAGAGACCGAATATGACCTGCCTCTTCATGTGGCTGGCCTCTGTATGTAATCGACTCGCTCGCATCCAAGCCCAGTCGTACAATGAATCAACTAACGTGGCCGTCTGCAGTCGTGGTTCTGTTCATGTCGTGTCTCGGTAATTCTCCCAGCCATCAATCCAGTGTCTTGCTGTATCTAACGCCGCCTCAGGATGCGGCTTCCCCGTGGCAGCCAAAAAAATCAAATGGCTCAAGATTCCCCCCAAGGTCTTTTTTGCCTGTAAACACTTCGGTACAGGTGTTCTTATAGCAACAGCCTTTGTTCATGTGAGAAAGACATTGACACGCGACTCAACCCAGCACACGGGCATGTTGCTAATAGTCAAGCCAGTTACTGCCCACGGCATTCATGAGCTTGGGCGACCCCTGTCTCCCCGACTTGTTCATCAAGGACTATCCTCCTCTGCCTGGCGTCATCATGATGGGCTCCCTGTTTGTTCTTTTTGTGATTGAAATGTGGCTCAATTCCAAGACGGGCGGACACTCGCACGGCGGCCCGACGGGGGCCGGCCTTTCCGACCATCAACACGGCGCCGGGCAGCCGCAGGCACTCTCGAGGGGACTGCAACACCCTCACCCGCCGGCGACGGTCCATGGCCAGGCCATTGTTCACCAGAACCCGGCCATGGCGTCGGACATGAAGTCGCCCTCGTCCGACTACGACAGGAACTCGTTTGGTGAAAAGTCGTTTGACGACCGGACTCTGCACAACTACTACGACTACAACGACAAAGGCAACAGGCTGTCGACAATGCCTGCCTGGTTCATTGCCTTTTACGAGCAGTATGTGCGACAGCACACGGAGATTATGGACGCGCTCCGATACCCCAAGGACGGGAGCAAAACTGTGGATGAGGAGAAGGCTCAAGTTACAGTTACGGAATATGCTGTTGAAGACGAGGAGCCCGTGGACCAAGCCCTGTTGAAGAAGATGTCGACCAACATCACCTTGCTCGAGGGCGGTATCTTGTTCCACTCTGTCTTCGTGGGCATGACCGTGTCCATCACAACAGAGGGGTTCATCATTCTCCTCGTCGCCATCTCGTTTCACCAGCTGTTTGAAGGTCTCGGACTGGGCTCCCGAATCGCAGCCGTGCCATATCCCAAAACCAGCTTCAGGCCATGGCTGTTGGTGTTGGCGTTTGGAACCACGGCGCCAATCGGACAAGCCATCGGTCTCCTGACACGAAACACCTACGACCCCGACAGTGCGTTTGGTTTGATTATCGTCGGCCTATTCAATGCAATGTATGCTCCTCGCTGGCGTGATTATTTTCTTCGTTGCATAGGCTAATCGGGCACAGTTCCTCCGGGTTGTTGATCTACGCTGCGCTCGTCGACTTGCTGGCCGAGGACTTCTTGTCCGAGGAGGCAAACCAGCTCATGGGCGGAAAGGACAAGGCCAAGGCGTTTGCTTGGGTTCTCCTGGGAGGTACGTGAACAGTGCGGGCTACCGGATACGTTGAGCAAGGCTAACTGGCGTGCGTTTCTGCAGCACTCGGCATGTCCATTGTGGGCGCTTTTGCCTAGGTTCATTGCTGCGAGTGGCTTGACGCGGACGCGATTCGCCGTGTGAAAGAGTTGACTGGACGAAAAAGAACAAAAAAAGCTCAAATGGTAACGAATTTGATGATCCGGAGGATGTACAAACGTGTGTGAGAACGCAGAGACTGACAAAGTTTTGGTTTGGAATTGGACGGCGCGATGCCGGCGGTGCGGGATCGGAGCACTCTGACGAGGTATTTTTTTCGGGTGTAACTAAGAGCACTTGAGCCCAGACGACTTTGCGCACGAGAATTGCTTTTGGTCTGGTGCTCAAGGGCGTCTGGTGGCTGCAAGTCGGCGTAAACTAGCTTTTCCCCGTCTGCTGACTCTTCCGAATACCCGAAGAGCTGAACCCGGGAGGACCAATCTCACCCCCGCCTATTTATAGGAAATTGCTTCGCTGTTTCTAGACTCCCTGGCAAGTCGTACATGAATCCGGACTTTCTTCCATCAGGCGAAGCCGCAAAAATCGATTCGGAAACAAGCACCAGACGTGACGGGTTGTCAAACAAACCATGGCACTCGCCGCCGCGCATCTCCGCGTGGCCAGGCCGACGGACAACATGGACGCGCTGCTGCCCTTTTACCGCGACGGGCTGGGCTTCGAGGTTCTGCTGCGCTTCCGGGACCACGAGGGCTTCGACGGGGTCGTGCTGGGACACGGAGGCGCCGCGTACCATCTCGAGTTTACGAGCAAGACGGGCCACGCGGCGGGGAGGGCCCCGACGCGGGACAACCTCCTCGTCTTTTACCTGCCTGACTCGGAGGCCCATGGCGCGGCGGTTTCGAGCATGGAGAGGAGCGGCTTCAGCCCTGTGGCCAGCTTCAACCCGTACTGGGACCGGTGCGGGACGACATTTGAAGACGCCGACGGCTACAGGGTCGTTTTGGCCCGTGTGGCGGCGCCTATTTAGCGATTTTTGCCGCTTCAAGCGGGCAAGTATTGGTAGACGGTACACGAAGACATAGATGCAGCATGATTACGATTCAAGAATGGACGCAAAGTTATATATGATTATCTCGCACATGAAGTGATTACCTGCGCCCGCGCAGAGATGCCGCGTTTAATTTAACCATCCACCCGTTCAATCTTGCCGCTCGTGACGTCGTAAATGTATCCCGAGATGGGTACGTCCAGCACCAGAGGACTCTTCCTGAGCACCTGGACATCATCCAAGACACTCTGCTTCACGTCGCCAAAGGGGAGGAAGGAGATGTGGTCCACGTCCTCGCCCAGGTCTCTCCGAACCTTGGCGCGCAACTGCTCGTCTGAAAAGGTGAGCATGCCGCAATCCGTCTATTTCACCGTCAGGAGTCGGAAGATGGACCGCGGGCGCTCAGGCTTACATGGTGGACAATGACGATTTCCCGCGTCCCCAGCAGCTGCTGGGAAATGACGACGGAACGGAGCGCGTCGACCGTCCGGCCGCCCGCGTTGCGGATGACGTGGGCGTCGCCTTCAGCGAGGCCGAGGGCTTTGGCGGGATCGAGTCGCGCGTCCATGCATGCGACGACGGCCACCTTGCTGTTGTTGGGGCACGGTCAGAAACAGGCCCCGTCTGTTGACTACTTGGACGTGAGGCAGGAAAAGGAGCTGCTTACCGGCCGGGCGGCAAGGGCAAGGTTCCCTTGTCAAAGGTTGCCGCGTACTGCTTGTTAGCGGCCTCGAATTCAGTACTGGCAGGCATGGTTTCAGATGATGGCTGTCAAGCGCATGTACATGGATTGTACCCGAATGTATTTCTTGTCGACTTGCATCAGGGTTCGTGCTTGCAACTTGGGGTTTATATATCTCATGACCGACCGCCCGTGCGATTTGATCTTCGGCGCGGGGTATACTTCAGTCGCCATCTCAAACGCTTCTGTCGCAATGCCATAGCCTTTGTCTTGGGACGGATACGTCGACCGCCGAGCCAATGGGAGCACGACCAAAACGCCCTCGTGTTGGATTGACATTTCTACCGCGCCCGCAGCTTCACCGTGTCGCCTTGGACGGAGTGCAGATTGGGACTGCGGGCAATGCTGGGACGAAAAGCCACCAGACGTTTTAGCTTCATGTCTGGTGCCGTATAGCGCCAAGTGCCATCTTTTTCTGGACTTGGAATTATTCCTGACGAGCAACTCCCGGCGTGCTTTAGACTATATGGTGCGTTTTCATGGCATATGTCTGAGACTTGGGCAACGCTGCCGAGGGCATCATTTAGATCCAAGGCCCTGTTCGCAGAGGCATGTCTTGTGCTTCGTATATTGTAAGAAGACATATGGTATCGAATCAGAAACGCTGTTTTATACAGTCCACCCCCTGAATTATTCTTCATGCGTCACCTGATAGGGTAGCTGGTAGTAGGGGGTAATGCATTAACTATGGCTTATATATTTTAGGAAATTAGGTGTTAAGAGAGGTTCTATAAAAAGCATTTTTCTAATTTATTATGAGCGCCCCTGCCAAGTCACGCATGTAGAATAATTCAAGGGTTGGACTGTATGTATCTATGCACCAGTTGACCCTTGTCAGCCCCGTGGTGGAACACGGGGTACGGCCGGGGCAGGGCTTGACAGGTCACAGTATTCAATGTTACTCGCATATTCCCCTGATCCTTGTCGTGGGCATCGGCTGGAAAGCGGGGTGATTCGAGATTCAGACCAGACATCTCAGGAGGCAGCAGTTTTGTACCGTGGTCAGTTTCGCTCATCGTCCAGTAACCATGTCGGAATCCGCCCGGTCCAGTCCGCCCGTCATGCACCAGCTTCAATCCATGTACCATGCCGCCATACAAGATTTGCCGCCGCATCTTTGCCAGATGTGCGCCGACATGACGGGCTCAGCGAGGGGTTTGTCCGCCTTGATTTCATCAGAAGGCTACCACCACAGCACAGTTCCGCATGTTCGACAAGCCGCTGAAGGAGGCTGCATGTTCTGCAGCGCAATATTGGACATGTTACTGACTGGCCACTTGTACAGCCGTACCGCGGGCCAGGCTGCAAAACGTCTAGAATTAGACGATACCGTCAGAGCATTCATGACCGGCAAAGTGAGTCAGAGGGCCCAATACGACAACCCCGGACTCAGGGCGCCAGTCATGCTGCTCGAGGCCATTGTTGTAAACTGGGTATACCAGGGACAAGTATGTGACTTTCATGTACTTCATAAAAAGGTTGGCTTTTACATGGACAGGCCTGTTGTGTTTGGAGCATTTACAAATGCTGCCGAGCCAGTACAGATCTGCCTGGTGGAAGCAGCGGGTACGTCTTCCAAGGCCCGTACCGACATCTATGCGCTTGCTGTTTGTTTGACACGATGTAGGTAACCCTGTGATTCTGTCCTTCAAACCTCAGCCTCTGTCCATATCTGCCGTCGGTGATGACCTGGCTGAGGGATATATGCGCTTGCGTAAAGAATGCGCAGCCGACCACGCTTCCACTTGCCCCCCGGATGTGGAACATGCCCTACCCCTTCGTGTTATTGACGTGGAATGTCCGGGGACGCCGATGAACATTGGCCTTGTTGTCAACAACGCCAGTGCTCCCCGGCGTGGACGGTACGCTGCGCTGAGTTATTGCTGGGGCGAACCGCCACACGTCTTCAAAACTACCACGTCTGTAATGCAACATGGTTTCCAACTGGATTGGTCTACCGCGCCTAGCACTATTGTAGATGCCATCACCATCACCCGGAGACTTGGGTTGCGATATCTTTGGGTGGATGCCGTATGCATCCTGCAAGACGACGAGGACGACAAGACGTCTCAAATCAAGGACATGGCGCGGATATACAAGAATTCCGCCGTTACAATTGTTGCTGCGAGCGCATCCAGCGTCAATCAAGGATTCAAGGACAAGTCAGTCAAAAGTATCGCCTTTCCAGTAAATGCCATTGACGCTACTCGCCACAATGGGCTGCGCGTTGGAACACTCTGGGTCCACGCAAACACCCCAGACGAGCCTGAAGAAGCCATTGATTCCCGGGGCTGGACGCTTCAAGAATCCCTCCTCTCGCCGCGGATTTTATACTTTGGCTCCAAGGACATCATATGGAAGTGCCAGGCAAAGCCGTTCCAGCCCGTCGTCGGGTGGCATAACCTCTACAAGGCCGAGGGCATGAAGCGGCTGCCTTCGACGATATTTGGCCTTGCGCTGCCCAGCACCCAGTCCCCGTTGGGCCACTGGCCGCACATCATGTCCGAGTATTCCAGGCGCAAACTAAGTTTGGACGTGGACAACTTCCGTGCCATAGGCGGCATCGCAGAGGAGCTTCAGAAGGCATCGGGCGATACATATATTGCCGGGCTGTGGAAGAATGACATGGCCAAGAGTCTCGCGTGGTTCCGGACGGATAGAATTGTGCCAAAACCCGCAAATGATGCCCCTTTGAAACGGCCGACATGGTCTTGGCTCACTACTCTGTTCCCGGTTGGACAGATTGGCATCGAAGCAGATGCGAGCGGCGACGAGACAGTCCAAGTCTTAAGCTGGTCTGTAGAATTGGCGGATAAGACTGCCCCATTTGGCCATGTCATTGGGGGAGCTCTAGAACTGTCTGGCCAAGTGATCCGGGCATCAGATATACCGCTGGCCGTGATTTCTTCCATGACGGTGATGCTGGACGCCGGGGTACGCGACGAAGATGATGAGCAGGCGGGCAGGTTCGTAGGCGACGAGTACTACTATATGCTCCTGGGGAGTTGTGGGGAGGGCAAGGACAGAATCATTATGCTGCTGCGGGAACTAGAAGATGGGACTGTGGTGAGATGTGGCATTGCGCATTTGACTGCGAATACGGCGCTAGCTATATGGGAGACGGGCAAGGTTCGGAGGACAAAGGTCACTCTGATGTAGATGTGAAACAGGCAAGTCCGAGTGACCCAATCTCTGACATTATCCCAGTAGTCAAGTCCTGCACGGGAGGCAACCTGGATTTTGCCTCTCTGCCCATCTAGACTCGGGCACTCGCGTTTAAACACTGTAGTGGTCGCACACTGCTATTACTCCGGCTTTTCATGAGGGTGATTCTAGCTTCATCCTCGGATGCAGGCACATGATCCTAAATGTTCAGCAAGGAAACATTAAATGACATTAGACAAACGTAGAAACTAAATATATATAGATGGCGGCCCTTGGTACCACCGGATTCCTTCACGGTCCCACGCGTCGGGCCGACTTGGGCCGCGGCATGCAATTCTCCAACATCATGCGTTCTGGTTTGAGAGATCAACACTAGTTCCACCATGTGAAATTGAGAGCATTGAGATTTTTCATGACATGCCACTACTGTAGGCCACTCTGCGTGCGCGGACTGGATTCACCCATGAGACTGAGCGTACCTAACCTGCGGTCGCATGGGTTAGATTTTCCAGTTTTGCTTCACACTTTGGACGGTGTTCTTCCAACTGCGTGGGTAGCACTTGAGTTCCAATAGCCGTTGGGATTGTCAACATATTCTACCGAGCCTTGATTACAATCTCCGTTGCCATCTGGTCTTTTGCGTTGCAACTGGTTAACTTCGTCATTCGCTGTTTTTGATGCCCTTGACAATTCTGAACGAAAAGTCTATCCTAGCTAAAGATGCAGCATACTACTATTTGAGGGTTTATTCGCCTGTTTCTGATGTAAAGCCTACAATACAAGCAAGTCAACCTGCGGGTCCTGCTGAGAGCTTAGACATATATCAACTAGGTAGGCTGTTGGCGAACGGGGCCTTCCAACTTATAATAGTTTGTCATCGTTGAGGATGTCGACCCTCCTCTACCTGTTGGCACCGAGAGTCGAAGCTTGCACCACAACTTATTTCTCATCAGTGTTTCGTCAATGGCTTACGCTTTTCGCTGCCCGTTGTGTCTTGTGAAAGCTCTTAAGAAGTCCAAAGACTTTGAGTGATAGGTCTTGTCACAGGGAAATGGCCCAATATCAAAGACTGTTATTAGATGAATTGAGCTATTTGCCCCAAGCCTTGTTCAACCCTTGTTACAGGTCTGGCCGGAGATTGGACTTGCAGGCCAAGTAAGGTGATGGAGCCACCACATTCGAAATGATCGGTTTCCTGAGGGAGGCGTGCATGATTATTGTAAATCCTGAGGCCTATCGAAGTTGATATGACTGATTGACAGAAAACAATTAACCGTTCTAAAGTTTGCGCTTCGAACTACGCTTACGAGCTTCGTCTGACTAGGGAAAGGGGAAAACAGGAACCTTGAAAAAGGAATCGCTGCAATTTGGTCAGGGAACAAAATAAAATGGAGTAAAATAGAACGAACCTGCTATCCTGAAGATGAGCTCAAGCGGAATGCCAAGCAACAGAGGCAGCGGCGAGACCAATTATACTGCTAATTTTGTTCAAATCAGCAGCAGAATTGGGGTCAGTCGTATCGTTCGTATAAGACTCGGAATATAAGAGTAAATATACTACATCTAGAGTGAAAAAATGGAGGGGGGATACTAGTGTTGATCTAAGTGTGCCAGGGAGGAGACGACCCAGTCAACCCTAAACCTAGACTAGCCAATTTGCTCTCATTTAGTCCAGTAGGTTGAACAATACCCCAGCTGGGGGTCCAAATAATACCGTGAGAACTTATTGATCCAAAAGCCACCATAGGAACCTAAAACGGTAGCTCTAGAGGTATTACCAGAGGCAAACTCGGTAGTATTGTTAGTTTTCTAACCAAGCCTCGGGTAAATTGGAATAATACTTGCTACATGCCAGTTAACAGTTGGACGAGGCCGCCATACGCGAGCGCTAGGGAGACAACTATCTCGGGCCCCTGGCATTTTTGCTGTGAAGGTTGGACATAAAGAAGACGAGAACTGTCAATACAAAGGCGCACAGACCGACTGAAGTTGGATTGCCGAATTTTCGGTGCTAGCCCTCACCGACTCGGCTTGTTGTATATATAGAGCTCTTTGGTCAACTAGGCCTTGAGAAAAATCGAGGACCTTTACTATCAAAGACTGCTATTAAATGAATTGATTCATGATGCTCCAAGTATTTAGCCCTTACCACATTTGGTGTTTAGCAACTAGCTTGCCCTAGTCAAAATAGTTTCCAGTATTGGTACACAGCCTGAAAGACAACGGCGTATGACAAGCACTGAGAGCTTAAAGAGTGCTTGTGAATAGTTTTATATTCAGCTAATAATTGCCCTTGTGTTTTTCAGGCCCTTGCTTTCTCTTAAATGAGGCCCTGATCTTTGACCCGTATATAGTTATCTGGATGTAAATTGGAGGCTCGTTTATAGGTGCTGTCAAGTATAATATAAATATAGCATTGGACGTGACGTCATTCGCACAGCCACACAGTATGACTCGGTATTAGCGCTGGTCTTGATCCATGCGCTACCAGCAGCGACTAGGTGCATGAGCCACGATACATGATAAGTGGCTTGCCCCAGGTGCCACTTTTGATTAACATTAAATCATTGATATTTGCCGACGGGTAGGGCCCGCCCAAGCAAGTTGAAACAGACGCGCTGGCTGCCATCAATGTTTCACCTTTTCTTTACTTGACTCATCTTCCAAAGCCGTCTCTCTATTTAGTCGGGCGTGCTCCTACCACCAAAGCCGTCCAAATCACTTGTCAGTCAACCGTTGAAATTTGGACGCAGCCAGATACACAAACATGCAGGAATCCCTCTTGTCCATTCTGTGCAGCGAAACCTGGCACTGGGACTCTGAGGACGCCAGCCAAATTAGCTTTAATGAAAACGGGACAGGCAAGGTAAATCCGACACACACACATACACGTATACACATATCATATAATCCTTGTTAACCATTTGCACAGCTAATATGTCGCGCCGAGCTCAATGTCTGGATTGCCGCTGAATTTGACTGGCAACCACATGACAAACAAGCACTCAGCCAAATGGTTGACCTCGCCAAGCGCGACGGCTCGCCAATCGACTTTCAGACAAAAGTCAACATGACACTGACCAAGCGCCGCATTCCGAGTCTCGGGAACGCAGACATGAGCAAGTATAACATAAACGAGTCGCTGCTGGCACAAGCTGCCTTTGAGCCAAAGACGTACACGATTACTCTTGACCAAGGAACCTTTTTCAGCCCCTACGACGCCCAGTTTCCCGGGGCGCAGACGGAATTCACGCCCCTGTTCCGGCTTCGCTTGACATTTGACACGTCGCCGTTCCCGCCGCGATGCGAGTGGCAGGAGCCGCGGGGGGCGCCGGATGCGCTCAAGTTTTGGGAGTGGAAGCAATTTTGTGGGCGAGAAATTGGCAAGCAGCAGTAGTCTTTATATGTATCCGTGAAATGAAGAAACTGTTGATTTTCCTGGTTTACTTGACATGTGTTCCCCTTTCGTGGTTTCTCCCTCGCTCCATCGCCATAGCTCTTGTCACGATCCAATCTGAAACTTGTGCAGCACGGGAGTACTGTTGACACCTCTACGCCATGCACTTCTTCTTAAACTCCAACAGGTAGGTGTCTTTGAAAAAGCCCTAAGATTCATGTTAGCGGTGCCATCCTAAGCTCTTTGCATCGGGCACACGTACAGAGGGATCGCTATCCGGCTTGGCACAGCAAGCTTCTCTATTCGCGTCATTCTTGCACTTGGCCTGTTGCGCGTAAAATTAGTCACGGTCTTTAGTATCTGCAAAGGTAAAAGTCCCGATTACATACGGCTTGAATGCAGCCCTAGAGAAAAAGACGTTAGTAAATGTAAACCCGCAGAATGGGCACAAAGGGGTTGAAAACGTACACCAGCCTGCCATGAGCGATACTGGCACATGTACTTGTTTATACCAGTGCAGTCGAACGGGTTGAGCTTATCGCACGACAGCTCCTTGAACACGGGCTCATCCGTCTTTTGAAGCGTGTACTGCGGCACGGCGGCCCTCATGTAGCCCGTGTAGAAAACGCCGGCCTATGATTTTTTTTCGAATAAGCAACGTTGCCAATAGTAGCACTCGTTAAGATAAGAGGACTCACTCCAAAGGGAAGAACATCTCTGTCATCCGCGCACTTCTTGGCCTCTGCGCCGGTTTTGCCTTGACACTCGGGCGCCTATGACGGGCCGTGTTAGCACTGATTCGCCACGAGTCCATCGACGTGCAACATTGTCAAACCTTTTTGCATCCCTACAAATAGTCATGTTAGTTTTTCCGTAATGGCCAGCTTTGATATTGGTTTTGGGGGGGTCACGAGCACGTACAGCGTATTCCCAGGAGCGGAGCGTGCAGCCCTTGCGATCCAAGCCACGGCAGTCGATGCGGTTGTCATTCTTGAGCACCTCGGTGCAATTAATCTTCTTGACCTCTGGCTTGGGCGGTGCGGCTGGCTTGTTGACAACGTTGTTGTGGACGTTGTGGCAATTCCGGAGGTACAAGACAAAGTCCTTGGTTCCCTAGTATGAACAAGTTAGAAACCCACAGTCATGCATTTCGGTCCAGTTTTCAACGCACCATTTCGGGGGAGTCGCCGTTGCAGAGAACTTCATTGTCCTGGGTATTTTCTGCGCGGGCAAGGCCGGCTCCGAGGAGCAGCAGGCCAGAGAATAGAAATGATGGGATGTGCATGGTTGCTCTGTAGAGATGTGTGTGTTTGCTAGATTTTCTAAACAATAGTACACCAGTAGAGGCTTGGGAGGAAAATGAGTGAGATGGCTGCAGGACAAGGGCTGTATATGTAAGACGGACTGCACTCTTCAATCAACAACGCCGAGTACGTCTCCAAAGGCAAAAACTCGACTTGTAACTTGAAATACAAATTGTTGGCTTGAGAAAAGTGAGAGTCGCATAAGAACAAGTCATGGCAGCATTAACAACAGGGGTTGAGCCTCCTAGAGCCATTTCGTGCCGTTGAATTATCAAAAAGCTAGAAGCTACTTAATTAGCGCAACGCGGGATTCACAAGCCGACTGTTCGTCATGCGAGGACCTGAATGAGCCACACGTGGTGGCAGTGATGCCATTGCAGACGCACAGGCATGACGGACATGATGAGACTCGCAAGGCGCAGACTTTGCCGAGGTGTTGAGACTGTTTCATCATCATTCCCGCGGCATGATTTTATGAAGGCGGCATAATGCCATCAGGAGCATGAGGCTAGTTCGTGCGGATAATAACAAGTCCCTTGTTACAGGGTGCGGCATAAATTCTGTTATTATTTCCCCGAAGCCATATATCTGACGTCTCCGCGAGTAACAAGAATCCCCAACTTTGCAAAGCATGACCAATGAAAATCCCGCATTGCAAACATGTTGGGGAATTTATGCCGGCGAAACCAGGTCGCTTATCTGGTTTCAGACAACTGCCGGAGTCCAGGGGCGGTTCGTATTGTCATGAGTCGTGAGATGAGCATCATTGCTCATGCAAACCTTTGCAATGCTGCCATTGCACGTTAATGCGAAAACGCCTTGGTAGTGACATTTCAACGGTCTGAAATGACTACATGTGGTATTCATATAAGTAGACTGCTGCGTGCTCTGTATTTCTACCAGGTCAATAGAGTACAGTACAGTCATTCCGGCGAGGAACGGTATTTTCTCTTTCCCTTCTTTCACGGTCATTTTCCAAGTTTATCAACATGTTTTTGCCAAAGCTCGCCCTCGTAGCCTCTGTTCTCGTGTCCAGCATCGTGGCTTCGCCCTACAAGACACATTCTGTAGAAAAACGAGGTCAGAATGTCATCATCGGGTACAGAACTGTAGCAGAGGTGCGTCAACCCATGGTTCATGTCGTCGCTGGACATTGACTACCATGCAATTTTTACATGGTTTACTAACGATGCTCGCCAGGCGCAAGCAAGAGAGTACATTGCAGCAAAGACGCTCACATTGACCAAGCCTCCCGTGGGCATACAAATCGGCACGGGCGTGTACACGTCTCCGGCGCCGGGGGAATGGCCCGGCGGTCCTACTTCTTGGTTCGTAGTCGTGCCGGGACAAACATCAATGACGGGACTAACATGCAACGGCTGACAGGTACTGCGCCATCCTCGCCGATGCAGAGGCTCTCGCCAACACGGCCAAGGCGTGGGTGCCAAGCACGTACTGGTTCAAGGGCGACGGCGAAATTGACAGCTTCATCAAGGCGCAAGGCTTGGACCCGCTCAAGACGATGCGCATGTCCCTGATTGACGGACTTGCGAGCCGACAGCAGATGGTCATCCCGACAGGGCTCCTGAACCACAAGGGCGGTGGTCTGAGCCTCTCGGTGCTGTGCAAGCAGAACGTGGCCGAGCTGCCCAGCGCGCGAGTCGACTATGAGAGCGAACACTTCAAGAAGAATGCCAAGGGCGAGGTGCAGAAACCCGTCAACCCGTGCAAGCGGGCCGGGGCCGGGGACTGTGTCGAAGAAGCTGCCGAGGAAGGCGCGGCCGAGGAAGGCGCTTCTGAGGGTGCTGAGGAAGGCGCGGCCGAGGGCGCCACGGAAGGTGCCGTCGAGGGCGCTGCCGGAAACTTGATTCGCGACGCCGACCTGCAGGCCGCGCTCAAGGCAGGCCAGGTGGGCGAGTACCGGTTCTTTGCTGCCGGTCTCGAAAGTGCCGGGGGTGCCGCGATCGAGGGCGCGGCGCTAGATACTGTGATTGCGGAGGCCGACGCGGCAGCCGTCAGTGTAGCGGCCGAAGACACCGCCGCGGAGGCCGTGCTTGCTGAGGCTGGCGAAACGAGTATCATTGGCGAGTTGCTTGAGGTTGTCGTCGAGGTGGCCGAGGTGTGAGCGTGTAACTAGTAGTGTGGTGCTATAAACTAGATGGTAGATAGGCTTTAGTTAGGAATTGGAATTATGTGGATGCCGTCTACTTGTCTTGTTTACTTGCTTAAGCTATAGCAATGTGAGAATTTTATAAAAAATTAGTACTCGTATTATTATCTCAGCCAAAAGGCCGTTATCTAGCTGAAATCAAAGTATACATCCAAGTCCTTTTAAACCCCTCATGGTTTCAAGCGCCAGAGACCGACCTTGATGCCTGTGGAGGCGGCTATTAAAGTTTCGGTAAAGGTTCAGGCGCTCCCATTGCAATTACAAGCACGTTATAGGAGACGGGCCGTAAACTCGAGGTTTATGACCGCGCCTATGGAAACAAAAATCCCAAGGCCCCCTTGACTACGTTGTTGATATCAATCCCACCCAGCATACTACCAAGTAAGCCCGCACCCTGACCAGCAGCCTGATTCATATCAACTCTGCCAACCATGTTGCCTAGCGCAGAGAGGCCGTTTTGAGCAACCTTGTTGAGGTCTACTCTGCCGAGGAGATTGCTTGCGACACTGACGCCCATTTTGGCAGCAGTACGGAGGATAGGCTATTCGTCACGTCAGTAGCCCGATTTGCGAGTGCCTCCATGTGGTGTGACAACTTACTCCGTTGAAAAACCCTGCCCAGCTCCATGTCTCTCGTCTGGTGATTTTCGCAGTCCCAGCGTGAAATAGCTTCTGGGCAAGTTTATTGAAATCTTCGGCCTCGATGCGTTCCCGAAGGACTTGAAATCCTTGCGTTTTCAAGTCATTCAGATCAACCTCTGCGGTTGTGCTGTTGAGCTTTTTGAGGCCATCGTTGAGTGCCTTGTTGAGGTCCACGTCCCCCTTGAGATGGTGTAAGCTACATGATGAATTTGTAAATATGTGACAGGGCAGATGATTACGTACAGAGTTTAGTTGGTCTCGCAGATTGATGGCTAGTTCTCGAACAGCGACAGATCGCTTGGGTTTCGATTCGTGCTTCTCGTTGAGAAGCTCGTGGAGAAGGTCGGCTCCTCGCTCGGTCAATATGCCAAGATTGAAGATGTTCTAAGCTGAATCAGCTGAGAGCCAAGTAATTTTTCCAGATTGGTACACGTACTGCAAAGGAGGTGTCAACCACCTCTGTGCTTGTAGGAGCAGCGACAGATGTTACGGCACTGGTGGCGGTCGTTGGTGTCGCCGGCCGGGCTGAAGCCCATGGCACCGCCAAGATGAAGATGGCGGAGGAAAATGTCAACTTCATTATATCTCTTGTAAAAGATTGTTTTTGTGAATAAAAGAGTGTATGAAACCGAAGGAATTAGTCGATTATAATAATTCTTGATGAAGAAAAAAAGAAAGAGTGACCGTCAAGGAACGAATGGTGAAAAAAGAATGTAAGGTGGTAAACGAGAGACTGGTTGTCGTTGAACTAAAGTCAAGCGAATGACAACATATTTCAAGTCGGGAATCTCACGATATATATTCCACCTTGGCCCAAGAAATCAGACATCTTCACTTGGCCGATATATTCCATACCCTGTATTGAGATCGACACCTACCGCCTTCCAGCAAGGTTCATTACCACTTGCACGGACGACGCTGTTGTATTGTAAAAGAAAACGGTGACCAGTCAGCAGAGCCGCAAATTCTGCCATTTGGTGATGCCACCTGCGATCGCTCAACAAAATGAGAGCATGCTGCGTCGTAGAGCATGATTGGCCGACGATGTAGTTGCCGACGTCAAAGCGCGGAACGGAAGACAGCAATGGGCTGATTCGCACAAACATCACATGCACGGCTGGGGTTAGAGCCATGTGGGAAAGGGTCTAGGCTGGGTTTACGGGGCGGCAGATAAGAATAAATGGGCTGGGATGCGGATATAAACAATACAGCGCAGCTATAGGTATCCATAACGGTTAAATTGTGACAAGGCTGGAGCATCACCATGAACGCTTATCGTAGCACGGAGCCCTGCAACTCCATGTCGGTGCGCTGCCGACAGGTCCAACTGCCATGGCCATCATTTCCTAAATGAGGTCTAAAGTGAAGCAAATGAGCGCAAAACTCCAAGTCGCCTGTCACCAGATCCTGAAACCAGCGTTTGTGGAATGTCCATGGGTCCGGTACATGTAGACTCTTGGCGTAACCTGAATATGCCACGAAGCCCTTCACCGACCATGGCTGCTCGCAACGCTCAACTTTGCAGTCGGAACATGTTCCGACCAGAATGAGTGTCATGATATGCACCAAATACCAGGTTAGTTATATTAAACGTTGGTAACCATAGGCTTGCATGTCATAGGATGGGCTTCTACTTCATTGTCTAGATCAACGCCAAATGCGCATCACCGTTTGAGATTTGTTGCTCTCAGATGCCTATATCAATTGACCTTTACTGTGTAGTGCAAAGTCATTAGTGCGTTAGGGGGCTGGTACATCAGTTTCATAAGTTGTTGATAACAAGGCAATTTTTTCTTGATACGTTGGCATAGCATTAGGGGACACAGCACTTCATACGCTCAACCTATTCGATGATAAACAGCACCATGTTTGATAGCCACATGACTGGAAGCAAGCGCTAACTAATCAAGACAATAATGGTTGATGCTACCAACTATAGGACTTGTAACTATTGCAGCCGTTGGCTAGTGTGGGCGGGAGATGCTTCACCATGCGATGGTTCTCGGCCAACCAGCCGCGCAGTATATAACCGTAGTCGCCGACTACGCGTCCTCTTATTCCTCCATAGCGTCTGTCCCTAGTTTGGGCCCAAATTCAGCAAAATTTGGAGACAACTCTTCAAATGAAATAGCCCCCTCGGCGACAAACCTCTGGCGGATTGTATGCCCATCTTCCACGCAGAATCTTCCTCTCGGGCCGTTAAAGCATGACTCGCACATGTTGAAGCAAGTCTCTGTTGATCCGCAGTCATCGGAGCATACACAACAATCTGGAGATGGAGCTTAGAATACGCACAGATGGAGTCGGCTAGAAGTGTACAACTTACGGTAAAACTTGGCCTGCGTTAATAATATACAGCATATTAAAAGTATATATGCCTAACTT